CATCTCATCAACAAGAATTTATTAAGTGACTACCATCTTGTTCAGTTCGGTGCTGAGCACTAGGGACGAAGCAGAGGAGACACGTGTTAAGCACCCACACCAATAAAATACACCATTACAGACAGTCATGGGACTCAGGGTGGGAAAGACTGGGCCCCGAGGGCCGGCTGGGTCCCGAGCGAGCTGGGGAAGGGGGTGAGGGACGGCCTCTCGAACAAGGTCACATCAAGGCTGAGACGTGAAGGTCAAGGGGCCTGCCCCTCGGGAGGAGGAGAAAGGGCGGTCCTAGCAGAGGGAGGAGACGTGGGAAGGCCCAACTGCGGGCTGAGAGCAGCCTGCGGGCTGCAGCACAAAGCGTACCACCGATGACACAGCGCAGGGTGTCAGGGACCGTGGCAAGAAGTTAGGAATTTCATTCCAAAGCCAAAGAAACATCCCAGAAGGATCAGCCGAAACTGACAACTGATGGGGCAGAACCGAGGGGCCTGTGATAGGAGCCTCAGATCAGGGGGCACACCAGCAGGCACTGGGCACCCACTGCGTGCCAGGCATCACGCTAGGTGCTTTCCACACCAGAACTCATATAACCCCCATGACAATTCTGAATGAAAGACCGTATCAGCCCCCAGGTCAGTTAGTGACAGGGCCAAGACCTAAAACCCAATTCTGGTCATCTCCAAGTGCGTGTCATGTCCCCGTACCACCGTGCTTCTGAAGCTTCAAGGGCCGTGCAGACCGGGTGGGGCTGGAGAGTGAAGGGGGCTATTCTCCGTGAGGAAGTAACCCACCACAGGGAGGTTACAGAGCAAATCTGAAGATGCAAATCTCCTGGCCATACCACAGATAAAACATTAAACTTGACCAACTGCCTCGGCTCAGACCAAGACTTTTCAACAAAAAGGAGTAAGGGCCTTGAAACGAGAACACCAGCACCTCAGGGCAGGTGGATTTGAAACAAGAGCAGCAGAGTCTATCCTCAGGAAATAACCACATAACTGTACAAAGACGCATGCACCAGGATATTCACCACAGCTTTGTTTATAATAGTGAAGAATTAGAAACAATCTGAACGTCGCACAGGAAGAGATTACGTAAATTATGGTTCAATCCATCCCTTTGAAAACAAGTCTTTATGAACTTAGGACAGTCATTAAATAATACTAGCCACTTGTATCAACAGACGTGGAAAGCTACACGTGTCACTCTCTGTCACAGTAAAAGCCAGAATTAAACGCTTCTACATACGGATAAAGATAGCTACCCGGGGCTTCCCTGGTGGCGCAGTGGTTGAGAGTCCACCTGCTGATGCAGGGGATACGGGTTCGTGCCCCAGTCCGGGAGGATCCCACATGCCGCGGAGCAGCTGGGCCCGTGAGCCACGGCCGCTGAGCCTGCGCGTCCGGAGCCTGTGCTCCCCAACGGGAGAGGCCACAACAGTGAGAGGCCCGCGTACCGCAAAAAAAAGAAAAAAGATAGCTACCCGGACTGGACACGATGAACCAGATTCTGGGTCTCCCCACTTGCTCAAAACATTTTGAAAGAAACAAAGGGAGAGAGAGACAGAGAGAGAGAAACTGCAGTCTCTGAAACAGATCACACCAGGTAAGCACATTCCTTTACAAAAACATCTCAGCCAATCCTCCTCTGGTCCGGGGAGCTCCCCACTATAGTGGGGAGCTAGAAAGGCTCCCACTGAAGACCAGACTGATAACTGATCTGCCAACTAATCTGCTAACTAATCTGCCAACCTCCTGCTGTAAGGCCTGCCGTGCGGGTGATTACACCTCAGCTGACGAGGGCACTAGACAATGGGTCACCAGTTTAAAGGCCCACAAGAAGGCGTGTGGCTTTTACATGTCAGAAGAGGCCTCAGAGTGTAACAGAAAGACCTCCTGTGCCAGAGGCCTGCGGTCAGAACCCAAAGAAGTCCCTCTGCCTCTCTGGGCTTGAGTCCCCGTGTGTCAGATGTAGGGCCTGGGTGAGTCGACAATGCCGGCAGACTTTCTTCCCAACACCTCCGGACCCCTCCCCTTAGCTCAGGCATCATCCCTCCCCCCGACCACAACTCACTGTAGTCTTTCAACCCATCACAGCGCCACCAGCCTCGCTCCCTCCTCCGTCCATGTAGTCACCAGCCTGGCCGATCTTTTGAAGCAGGATTCCGGTCACTTCCCTCCCCAGATTAAAATCCACCACTGGCTCCCCTTCATCTCCAGGAAAAAACTAAAAAGAAGCAGTGTAGCATACAGGAGCCTGCAGAATCTGACCCCTGCCTGCTTCAGTGGCCTCACTTCTCTCAGGCCCTCCATCCTACCGCCTCCTTCCAGCCAAAGGGAACTTAGATTCCCAACCTCCTCACACGCCATCATGCCTCTCTCTACGTCGTCACATGTGAGCCCTTGTGCCTGGGGTGCTCTCTCAGTCCTCTCATCTTGGCTAACCCTAATCCCGACTTTTCCTGATGACCCTCCTCCAGGGAGGCTGCCCTAAGTCCCCTAGGCCAGGTTCGGGGCCCCTGCTCTGTGCCCCAGAGCACCCCGTACTTAACCCCTAGCACTGCAGTATTTTCCTATCCATCTCCCTAACTAGACTGCGAGCCTCTTGACAGGGAGACTTACAGGGTCTTAATTTACTGCCAATTCCCTAGCCCCTGGCACAGCCTGGCACAGGACATATATTTGAAAATATTCACTGATGAATGGATAAACTCTAAGCAAAACCAGGAGGCCCGTATTTTGCTAGACCCTTGCTAGTAGACTCTGATGTTCAGATATCTGTCATCTAAGACTAGAATAAAAGAAACCACGAGTTTCCCCTTTAAATCAAAAGTATTCTAGTCCCCTCTTTAACATGCACGCGGACTTTAAAATTAGCATCAGACGCCAAGAGCATCTCCTATGAGCATCCAACACAGAGATCACGCATTTACTAGCTCAGGCCAGAGGAAAATGTTCAGTGTTTTATAAAGACCTGAAAGCGAGACACTGAGAACAGTGTGGTCATTTCAATTTCAACTGCAGAATTTGCTCTTGAAAACGCTACAATAAAAAATATCAATGCCATAAAAAACCTAACAGCAGCCAAAGGACCACAGTCATGAAGAAAAAACATAAATCCTAAAACATACTGGCAGAGAAGGCTCTCCCTCACCTTTAAGAAAATCAGTATTTGGGTCATCAAGAACACATCTGAGCAAGGGAAACGTGAATCACATGGCAGAGTAGACAAAAATAACAACAATAAATAGAACAGTAAGAAGGAGAAATAGGTAACACACAAAATGAACTCTGTGCTAGGCATGTGTGTTTCACATATATTTACTCATGAATCCACACAACAGCCCTATGAAGTAGGAACTTGTAACATGTCCATTTTAAAGACAAAGAAAGTACAGAGAGGTTAAGTGACTGGCCCAAGGTCACCCAGCAGAAGTGGATGAGCAGGCAGTCTGGCTCCAGAGGCCGTGGTCCTCAGGCAGCACAGACTGCCTCTGAAAACAGCTTTGCCATGTTGCATCCCTCAGCCTCTGTTTCTCCTACGTATAATAAAGAGGGTTGGATTCAATTCAGAGATTTCTCCCAGTTCTAAAGGCAGACAACAAAACGTGAAGCCAAAATTCTGAGATTCTGTTAAATTTTTCCATCTAGAAATAAAAATCAAAACTGTGCCCTTCAAAACTTAAATAACTCTGTATCTTGCAGAGCTGCTTCAATGTTAAAGTAATATATATGAAGAGCTTACCGCTTCAAGTTCCCAGCTCAGAGCAAGAGCTCAATGAACAGTAGCTGTTATTACTCTTATGATAAAGCAGGAGCAACCATTTAACAGTAGAGCACATTTTAATTATACACGATGTGGAATAATCAAATCTCATCTGTTTCAGGCCCCAGGCCCCACAGCATAGATCGGGTTGTAGAGTTGAAATTGTAACAACTCAAAGCTCAGAAATTACTTGTTTCCATTAGAGATCTGACAAGTCATTTCTTCAATTGGTCACTGGTGGTTTGCAGATAACTGATAGCAGTAATGAGTATTCTAAATTAAATCCAGAGACAGTACCACTCTTTTCAGGAGAGACGACTGGAGAGAGAGAAACATGATGGTGGTATGTCCTTCCCTCTGTGTCCTCCATCTTCTCTCTGATAAATATCTCCCGTGTCCTGCACGGTATGGATTTCATTTGGTTACAAATGAAGAAGAGTCTAGATCTTCCCATGACAAATGAGAGCGTTGAGCAGGTAACTTGTTAAGGAGAACTGGAATTGGGAAAATAACCTTCTTTTCCTGTTACTTGACAACAAACCCCGTCCACTAACAAATGAAACACACAATGCTGGAAGACAGTAAGCACTGAAGCCAACTCCATCACTGAGCAATCCATTCTCAGACAATCACCACACAGCAGTGGGAACAGGCCGCTCATGTTTCATTCGACAGCAACAAAGATGCAGCCTGCAAAATGCAAGGAGGCCACACAGTGCAGCAAAAAGAATAACGGCTTTGGAGTCATTAAAAACCTGGATTCAAATCCCAGCTCTGTCACTCAAGTATGATGTGACCGTAAGCGAGCCTCCCCTAGTCTTAAGATTCTTTACCTGTAAAATGCGGATGATACAAAATACCTCCGTCACAGTGAGGATTCAATGGGGACCATAAATAACACGGCTTACATCACAGGAAAGCCCTTAATACATGTTAGTGCCTCTCAGCTGTGCTACATGGTGACATCCTCTTATTTGGGACACCAGAAATACACCAAACTCCCCAAGGCTGGAAACCACTGATCCTGTTGGAACCCGTAACTGGCCTGTGTACAAAGGGCCGTCTGTGTAGGAATGTGAAGGTCACCCAGAGAGCACCCACGAGCTCTGGCATTCCTCCCAACCCTGGCCTTATCCAGTCTGGATGCTTCTTAAGAAATACAGCTCCCTCCTGGGTCTGGCTGGACAGTGGCTGCAGACGTGATTTGTGAGGGATGGTAATTTGGTATCTCCACTTACGTTTTCAAAGTCCTTCATGTTCCGGGCTCTGGTGGGAGACACCATTTCTTCCGACACATGTGGGAGCGCTATAAAAAGGTAAAACAGACACAGGAAAACGTCACGGTATGCAGACTGCCCAGCATCCCCCTTAGGGAAGAAAAATAAAAATGACTAGCTTCCACGATATATTCTGTCTTGTGATTTGAGTCTACAGAAAGCTCGAAGCCACTGTATTTCAAATATTTACGAACTACTTGAACTAGCCCCAATGTAACAACGTAAATGTCAGAAGATGAATCCGAAGAATACATGGGGCAAACAAAGGAGAACTGCCCCGCTATGTACTTCCTTACTGCTTGTCATAAAATTATTTTGCTGAACAGGATATCATCTTCACGTGTCAGCAATTAAAACAAACCATGTCTGACTGACTTGACAGCAGGGGTTGGCAAACTTTTTCTTACAATGCCAGACAGTAAACATTTTAGGCTTTGCAGGCCATACACAAAGCCTCAAATCCGTCACAACCACTCAACACAAAAATAGCCGTGGACAGTTCAAAAACAAAGAAGCTGTGATCCAATAAAAGTTTATTTTCAAAAGCAGGCAGTGGGTCAGAAACTGGCAAATCCTGCTTCAGAGTGATTCAAGACTTTGCCAGTACCCAAATCTTTCCACAGCTTCTTTAATTCAACAAACATGTATTACACCCCTCCTCGGCGCCAAGCACCACGCGAGGTGCTGGGGAAGCAACGGTGAGAGAGACATTGATCCTGCACCCAAGAGGATCCCGATCCCGTGGGCAAGACGGAGATGTAAGCAAACTGCTCCACGCTGCACAAGTGCGTGGCGCTTTTCAGGTGTTGAGGAAATGTGTGCTGAGTGAATGAATGAATTCACTCTTCCCACAAGAATGCACTGAGGGGCTACTCTCTGCTTGGCACCATCTAGAAACAAAACAAACAGAAGGAGCTGACAGTCTAGAAAGAGGAGACAGACAATAAACAAAACAATAGGTAGTTACAGAGTATGTTCAAAGGTGATAAATGCTACGGAGAAAAATACAGTGGGCGAGGACAGGAAATACCAACAGCAAGGGGGGGGTGAGGACTTGCAGTTTCGAATAAGGTGGTTAAATTCAGGAACGGCTCACTGCGGAGGTGACCTCTGGGCAAACTCGGAGAAGGCACAGGGGAAAGGCCTGGGGTGGGAGATGCCCAGTGGATCTGAGGACCAGCCACGAGGCCGATGGACGCGAGAGCAATAAAGGGGCATATGTGGGTGAGCCAGGTGGGTGAGCCAGGCGCTGGCGGACGGGCTGGGTATGGCCTCACTGGCTCCTCTCAGGACGCCGAGGATTCTGAGCTCAGGAGCAGCGTTATGGGACTTGGGTTTCCACAGGCTCCCTCTGCCTGCCTCGCTGAGAACAGATTAAAAGGCGCTTTGAGAGAAACAAGGAGATCAGTTAGGAGAACACTGGGAGAATCCAGGCCAGAGGTCCTGATGGCTTAGACCAGGGAGGGAGGGTGAGAAGGGGTCTGACTCTGGGTACTTGTTAAGTAGCCAACGGGAACAGATGAAACGAAATGCAGTGAAATACATACGGTTCAGAGAGGAAAGCACACCTAAGGCAGCCTAGGGAGAGCCAAGGAGGCGGTGGGCTTGAGCTGTGTCATAAAGACTCAGGTAGGCAGCAGGCAGATGAGGACAAAGGCCCAGAGGAGGGAGCGGGCATGGCGCTCAGCATTCAGCCGACAAGCGGCTCAGGAGCGGGGCAGTGGGGGACCGTGCGGAGCCCCGTGCGCCAGACCGGGGGCACGCGGGTTGCCTTCCTGTTTCTCAGACGGGCTGTGCTCTGTCACCTGTATCTGTGTCCCCACCTAGGTCCCACTCATTCTTCAAGTCTTGGCTCCAGTTCAGCTTCTTGGGAAACTCCGGCCCACCCCCCCTCCTTCATCTGAGGGTAAATCTCCTTCTCATCCCCTCTCCCAGCTCCTTTCACTTCTTCGCTCGTTACACTGACTGTGTGATCTGTCCTGATCATTCTTTAGCTGTCTGCCCTCTAGGCTTGATGGGAACCATGATCGGAATCCCAGCACTGAGCCCAGAGCCTGGCGTGAAGCAGATGTATAACGTGGGCTGAATTGAGGAGGCGGCCTATGAATTTTCTGCTCCTAACTGCCTGGGCAGGAAAAAGAGAAACCGGAACTGCGGGACTGTATGTTTGAAGTAAAAGTTAATAGGTTCTAAAGGAAAACCTGAGGGTGGCCTGTAAGTTATAAACCTTGTGAAACTTACATCATTGTCTGCTCTAAAACCTTCTTCCTTTTGCACATAATCTCATCATTCTGGGGTGGGGGGGAACAAGTCAAAATATCTCTAAGATATTTCAACGTGGCAAATTATTAGCACTTCCCACAGATACTTAGGATAGCATCCACTTTTTTCGGAAACAAAAATTATGAAGAGCGCTTAGCAAAACCCAAACTGCAAAACAGAAAGTCTCCTCATGGTCCAGCTTCAACACAGCAGACTGCCTATTTCCTCAGCGCTGCCTCCTGTGGTCTAACCAACTATTTGTCTCCAAAGGGCAGGCCCGTGTAGGAATGCTGGGCCTCAGCGGGCAACTGGAATCCAGCAGCCTGCCAGGAAGGCCTCTGCACACTGAAGTTTGGACAGCAGCCCTCAGGGGCCTCCAGCCACTCGGCAGCAGGGACCAACAGATCCTCCGAACCTGACGGAGTCACCGATTCAACGTCCAGCCTCCACTGGTCATTCAGTTCAGCAAACACTGGCTGAACCCCTATAAGCGTGGTAGCAAGAAATGAAACTCATGAAATATGGCCCAAAGGACATCAATTCCTCTAGTCCAGTGTTTATGAAAGGACTAAGTAGCAGGTCAATATGTATACAAAATACTGTGTACCTCCTGGGAGCACCAAGCCATTCCAGGCTAGCGCTGGGCCCTGGAACCATCAAAGCTCAGGCCCAGGCTCAAGGCCTGAAGGCCCTCGTGGCCTCACGTCTACTTCCCTTGTTCTTACTTTGTGTACTTACCACCATTTCCCAAACCAGCAATGGGGCTGATGCCATCCAGGTCATCTGGTAAATTGGGAACAAGGCCACTAGGAGAGAACACGTGTGATAAAAGAAGAGTCAGTGTTTGAACAGCAGAGACTATCAGACGGACTGTCCGTCATCAGGTCACAGCCAGCCAGCTACCTGTGAGGCATGCAGTGCAGAGGTTAAGAACTCAGGCTTTGGGGCAGAGGTCTGGCTCTAACACTTAACAAGTGAGTAAGGTCAATCATTCATTCACACGTCAAGGGTTCTGTGGGCCACAGATGGGCTAGGTGCAGAGGCACCATGCCAAATATAAGCTACTGATGTCCCTGAGTCTTACTTTGTTAATTCGTTACATGGGGATACCACCCTCTACCTGTAAAGATTAAATGAGTTAATGTATCGATATATAAACACTCAGCACACAGTAAGTGCTCGCTAAAAGGCATCTAGCGTTGTTTTTGTCATTACTATTATTATCATTATTAATATGCCTATCACAACCAAAAACTAAGCTTCCAAGAATCAGGCACCAATTCGGATGCTTTAAGAATATCAAACAAAAATGCAAAACTCACTGATTCAAGAAGTTTTACTGGCTGAATTATAAAAACAGGTTCAGTGAGGATCTGGAGACACTGACAGAAAACTAAACCATAATAGGAGGTGTGGTTCAACACGAAACACACCTCCCTGGATTCTGTTCTAGGCTCTGCCACATACCTCTCCCAGCCTCGCTTCCTCCGTCTGTAAAAGGAGAACAGCAGCTACTTGATAGAGCAACTGGCAATTAAATGAGACAACAAGTGTCCGGCAAGTACCTGGCGTATATGGTGAGTATTCCATAAATGGGAGCAAAACACCCCGTCACCTTGAAACATACAATGCTCTGTAACTTACAAAAGATTTACCATCATGAGAACTGCCCAATCCCCTGAGGGTCTATGCATTTCTCAAAGGAAGGTGCTAAAGCCCAGATAATTTCAGCAGCCTCCTCAGTCTCACGGCAGTTAAGCAGAGAACCAAGGCCAGAATCCGAGCCCTTTATGTCTAACCCCCAATAATGCTTCCCCGTCCCAAGCTGTAAACTAAGAGGTGATGGACGTGCAGCTTGACTTCTTGGCAATTTGCTCTTTCCATTCTGTTCCTAGGACAATTTTGCCTGATAACCAAACTCTGGTGTTGGAATGAACCTTCAAGATCAGAACCAAGCCAAAAACTGGATGTCGTAAAATTCCAACATCAAGAAAATGATTACATTAAAAGTGTCTGCTCTGAGGATAACTGGAAAAAAAAAAAAAACCTAAGTAGAATACGCCTTCAATTATTGAAAAACAAAATACATGTACACTAAAGACACCTCAAATCCTTCTTGGAAACTAGGTGGGCTTTAAATATATATAACAAGACAACTGAAATATTAAAAATCATAATTTGCAGGGAAATGAGAGATATTTTCCTCCTTTTTAATTTTACAATTCTCAATTTCCTCCAATAAGTATCACGAGAAGGACAAACTCCATTTTCTAAACTGAATTGTAAAAATTAAAATCAAGTTCGATCACCACCCTTTGCAGATGGTGGCCCAGTGGCCCAAGATCACAAACCAGGTTACTGGTCAAGCTTAGCCTACAGTCTGGTCTCTACATTCCCAAGTCTGGGGTTCTCTCCACCACGGCCATTAATTTACTACTATTGGAGGAAACGGCCCATCAGTTACTCAAGCCAAGGTCAATCACCGTTGTAGACCACGTGGCAGGCAAAGCCAAAGAATTTGGTCTTAGGCAAATTTCCAACAGGCAACCAGCGAAGTCTGAAAAATGACATTTGACACCACAACTGAGAAGAAACCACTATTTAATGCAGCAATTCCGGCCTGGTTCCTGCCAAATTTCCATTTGGACTTTACCTGCCCACTTTTTAAATGCCATGAACCTCTGTCATGAGCAGTCTCAGTCAGTTCCAGCCACACCTCCACCTTTAAGAATTCACCTTTTTGTATCCCATTCTGATCATTCACTCTAGGCCTGAGAACTAAAGTTGGGGCTTCATGGGGCCCCACCTGTAGTCAAAACTAGGCAAGCAAAGGAAAAGGGTTTAGACATGATTTCGTCATGGTATGGATGGGGGACACTAAGGCTCAGAAAGGGAAGGAACATATTTGCTCAAAATCACAAGCGGGGGCTTCCCTGGTGGTGCAGTGGTTGAGAGTCCGCCTGCCGATGCAGGGGACACGGGTTCGTGCCCCGGTCTGGGAAGATCCCACATGCCACGGAGCAGCTGGGCCCGTGAGCCATGGCCGCTGAGCCTGCGTGTCCGGAGCCTGTGCTCCGCAACGGGAAAGGCCACAACAGTGAGAGGCCCGTGCGCCGGGGGGAAAAAAAAAAAAAAAAAAAATCACAAGTGGTTGGTAGTAAAGCTGAGACCAAAATCCCGGTGTCTCCGTGTCCTTGACACTCGCTAACCAGCGTCCGGGCTGCCCAAAGCGCCTACTCAATGGGGCACATAGTCAGGGCCAGTTTCCTCGCATGCAAAACACAGCATAAGCGTAACCACTACCCTGCAGGGGCACCGCGCTGAACAGACCCCACGCTCAGCGACAAGCAGCCTCCCGCCGACTACTCACCACAGCCCTTCAGTGGTAGGTGGTAGTTTTTAGATGTTGCCATTTTTTTTTTTAATGAGGAAAAGGGAGGCCCAGGAAAGTTAATAAGCTGAAAGACCAAGCTGGCCTGACTTCAAAGCCCGTGCTGTTAGCCTCGACACCACCCTGGCCCCCGCCAGCACCTTCCTCAAGGGGCTGTGGCGAGGTCCCCATGAATCGAGGCAGGGCCTTCCAGAGTCTGCACAGCGCACGGCCATGTGGCTGCTTCCTGTCCACTATGTGTCAGGTAAATGAATGAACGCTCACCTGCGCTTCACCAGCCACTTCATCCCCCTAGCTCGCTCCCCCGCCACCCGAAAGGGGCGATCTCCTGAGCCTGTACGTGGCAGCCAACAACTGTCCATCCACACAAGGTCCAACAAGGATGGAACGTTGCACGGACAAAGTGCTATGAGAGCCGTGGACGGACTGGACATCACATTCAGAAAACAACGATACCAAGTACGGCCTTGTCTGTCTTTCAACAACTTGTTTTTCATTCTATGTCATGTATTCTTAATGAGAGAAAAATATATATAAATACAAAATAGACAAGTTTCAAGTTCTCCTTGACTACTCACTCCCATCTTGGTCTCCTCCTAAGAGGTAACCACTCTTGTCAGCAAGACATTCCAAACCTTTCCCTATGTATGTAATTGTATATGCAGCATCTTTTCTTCACTAATGTGTCCTAAAGATGTTTTCATGACAGTACAGATCTACCTCAGTGTTTTTAACTCCTACAAAGCAATGTACAGCAGTGTCTGCAAATTTTATTGACCCCAACCCATAGAAGGAAATATATTACCCTTCATTCTTGAAATTCTTTCTGTTCTGTTCTACTCAATTTTTTTTTAAATTCTGGTTGCAACCTACTACATTCAGTTTCATGAGTTGCCAATGAGTCACAGTCTGAAAGACACTTGAGAAAAGATGTGTATTTACCAGGTCTCCTGATGGTAATTCAATGTGTCTAAATTGTTCCCTTTACAAACAATGCTGGATCTCCTCATACAGGTCTCATTGTGCACATGTGTGAGGATTTCTCTAGTCAGATAGATAGCAAGAAGTGGAATTGCTGGATCTAAACACATTCACATTTTTTAATGGGCAAAGCATTTGAAAATATACAAAAGGCTAATAAGCACATGAAAAAATGTTCAACATCATTAGTCATTAGGGAAATGCAAATCAATACCACAATGAGATACCCTGTCACGTCCCCAAGGATAGCTATAAGCAAAGACAAACAATAACAAGTGTTGACATGGCAATGGAGAAATAAGAACCCTCATATACTGCTGGTGAGCGTGTAAGGTGGTGCAGCCACCTTGGAAGAGAGTTGGGCAGTTCCTCAGAATGTTAAACATACAGCGTTACCATATGACCCAGCAACCCTACTGCCAGAGAAACAAAAATTTATGTCCACACAAAAACTTGTACCCAAATAAGTGTTTATAGCAACATTATTCATAACAGCCAAAAAAGCAGAAACAACCCAAATGTCATCAACCAATGAATGAATAAACAAAATATGGCATCAATACATGTATATAATGGAATACTATTCAGGCACAGAAAGGAATGAAATACTAACACATGCTACAACATGGATGAACCTCACTAAAGACCACATATAGTAAAATCCCATTTATATGAAATGTCCGGAATAGGCAAATCTATAGACAAAAAGTAGATAGTGCTTGCCTAGGGCTGGGGGGAGGGGAAGGAGGAGAAATGTGGAATGTTATAGACTGAATGTTTGTGGCCCCCCAGAATTCATATGATGAAACCCTACCCACCCACCCCCAAGTGATGGTATTAGGAGGTGGGCCTTTGGGAGATAGTTAAGTCTAGACGAGGTAATGAGGGTGGAATCCTTGGGAATGGGATTAGTGCCCTTAAGGGTTCCCAGAGCTCTTGCTTCCTCTCTCTGCTCTCCACCATGTGAGGATACAATGAGAAGTACCAATAGGTAGTCTGCAACCCGGAAGAGGGTCCTCACTAGAACCTGACCATGCTGGCACCCTGATCCTGGACTTCCAGTCTCTGGAACTGTGAGAAATAAACTTCTGTTGTCTATAAGTCACCCAGTCTATAGTTTTTTTGTTACAGCAGCCCAAGCTAAGACAGGGAGCGAATGTTAATGGGCACAGGGTTTCTTTTTTGGATGATGAAAATGTTCTAAAATTAAGATTATGGTGATGACTGCACAACTCTGTAAATATACTCAAAAAAAAAAAACATTGAATAGTATATTGCAAATGGGTGAAATTTACAGCATATAAATTAGATTTATATCTGTTAAAAAAGCTGTTAAAAAAAAAAACCACAAGGCACATTTTTAACGCCAAACTGTGTTCTACGAAGACTGTATCAGTTGACACTCTGTTGTGCACTTTTTCACACAGTGATTACAAAGCAGCATTTTACTACTAAATATGGAGCCTATATTCATGGTATTTATCTTTTTAAACGGAGACTGAACAAAATTGATTCATTCAACAAATATTTGTTGAGCCTCTACCATGTGCCAGACACAGTTCTAGGGCAGATACAGTGGGGAAGAAGCCAGACGTGCTGCCTGCACTCACTGAGCTAACACTGGCGACGGAGAACACCTCCTCAAACCTCACAGCCTAGGGGTACCTCTGGTCCAAGGTCGGCCTTGGATTAAGCTTTCAAGCCTTCACCAGAAATTTCATTCCACCATCCTCTTTCTCAACCTCCTTCTACAAAATCCATAAAGGCACTCTTTGCCTGAGAAAGTACACACTGTGTACAAAGCTATAAGAAACATGTCTTTTTGGTCTGCCCCTAACGGGGCAGCAAGCACTTAATGGCCATGTACTTGAGGAACCCATAGATGTACAAGCCTGGGCCAGGCCTTAGGAAGCTCACAGGGAGAGGCAGAATCCTGGGCATGAAAACAAACGGGTAAACCCAGGGGTGTGGGCACAGAGGACTCTGTCCAGGAAACAGTACAACATGGTAACAGTGAAACAAAAACAGCCAACATTTCATGTACTCCCCAGTCGGTGCTAGGTACTTAATACATACAATCTTGCTTCATCCACAAAGTCACCCAACAAAACAGATATTATCACTGAAGAGAAACTGAGGATTAGGAGGGTGAAGCGAATTACTCAAGCAGCACAGCTAGTGACTGGCTGAGGCAGGATGCAGACGCAGACATCCTGCCTACAAAGTGCAGGTTCTTTCGACACCATCAGGCAGGCCCTAACGAAGGGCCTTAGCTCAGGTGAGGCTCCAGGGGCCGGAGCTCTTGGGGCACCCACAGGTGATCAGGTTTGGAGAGAATAACACACACTGACCTAATTCAACGGAAGTCCAAGGACAAACTGGACTCTGGTCTAGTCTCTAAAACTGGGGCTTGGATGTTAGCAGGCAGAAGAGGACTCATGTTAGCATAAAAAGATTTTACTGCAGGGATTTTTCTCATCCACTGTGACCACCTGACAGAGAAGCTGACTCTCTCAGGACGTTTCCGCTACTCTTTGAGGGCCAGTTCAAGCACCAGCAGCTCCAAAAAATCCTCCCAGAATCCCCTCAGAATTGGTTCAGAGAACTGGCTGGAAGGCAAGACATGGTACTGATAGCCAGGCTTTGGAGTCTGTAGGCCTGGATTTAAATCCTGGCTCGATCATGTACTTTTTGTGGGACCCCAGACCGTTCATTTCACCTCTCTGAACCCTAGTGTCCTCACCTGTAAAAGGGGGATAAAACTGTCACCCCACCAGATCATTGTTTATTCAGTGATTTAACAAATGGTTACTGAGCCCCTACTATGAGCCAGATACCACATTAGGAAGTCGGGTTACAAAGATGATCAACATGCAGCCCCTGCTCTCACATAGGTCAGAGTCTGATCTGGGAGACAGACAAGTTAACAGTCATACCTGCAGCGGCCAGTACAGGAGCCACCAGCCACCTGGACCTACTGAGCACCTGAAATGTGGCTCATTCAAGTTGAGAAGGGCTGTAAGTGTAAAACACATACTGGACTTCGAGGACTTAGTAAGATCAAAAAGAAGATAAAATATCTCATTAATAATTTTTTTCACAAGTTAGAATGATAATATATGGAAATACTGGGTTAAATAAAACATTATTAACATTAATTTCACCAGTCTCTTTTTACTTTTTTAATGCGGTTATTAGAAGGTTTTAAATTGCATACGTGGCTCAAATTATATGCTGACTGGACCACACTAGTTAATCAAATTCAGTGAAGTCATGGGACTTCGCTGGCATCCCAGTGGTTAAGACCCTGAGCTTCCAGTGCAGGAGGTGTGGGTTCGATACCTGGTCAGGGAACTAAGATCCTGCATGTGGCGTAGTGGGGCCAAAAAAAAACAAAAAAATTCAGTGAGGTCAATGAGGGCTGTGAACAGGTCAGTGACGGGGGGACTAGAGGAGAACAGAGGGCCCAGGTGGGGATAGGGGGATATCAGTGAAGACTTCCTGGCAGTACCATCTAAACTGAGACCTGAAAAATAATAAGGCAAGGGGCGGGGGGGCAATCCAGGCCGCAGGGACAGCAAGTACACAGGCCCAGCTGTAAGAAAGAACAAGGCAGATCATTCATAACAGTCTGGCAGCCAGCAAGAGTGACGGGATTGCGGAGGAGACGGGGAAGGAAGAGGGAGCACAGGAGGTTAGTGAGGTAGATGCGCCAGAGTATAAAGAGCTCAGAAGCCATATTAAAGAACTTCATCTTGAGGGCAGAGAGGAGCCAGGGAGGGTATGAAGTAGGTGGGTAAGAGATTAGTTACCAGGAATGTATGCAGCACCAGGATCACCAGCAAAGGCAGGGAGAGGAGGGAAAGGAGAATATCTGATGCTCTGTTGAGCTGCTACTCTGAGTCAGACATTAGGCTAAACCCTTTTAGACTCACCCATGTTACAGATAATGAAAACTGAGGCTCACAGAGGGTGACTTGCCCAAGGTCACAGGATTCTTACGTGGAAGAAATGGGATTGAAACCCAGTTAGGTCTAGGTCCCAAAACCCAACTGCTTGGCCAACTGGTGCTGAGATGTGAAAAGCTGTCTGAGAGAATAATAATGGACTTTACCTTAACAGCAATGAAAAGCATTAAACATGTAAAGCAGCAGACTATGACAATCAGATTTATATTTTAAAAAGAGCTTTGAAGCTGCAGTATAAAAGGCTATCAGAGGGCTTCCCTGGTGGCGCAGTGGTTGAGAGTCCGCCTGCCGATGCAGGGGACACGGGTTCGTGCCCCGGTCCGGGAAGATCCCACATGCCGCGGAGCGGCTAGGCCTGTGAGCCATGGCCGCTGAGACTGCGCGTCCGGAGCCTGTGCTCCGCAACGGGAGAGGCCACAACAGTGAGAGGCCCGCATACCGCAAAAAAAAAAAAAAAGGCTATCAGAGGTGTAAAGGAAACCACGACAATCCAGATGAGAGGTCATATGCGATATACTGGGGCAGTGGCAGAAAGATGAAGAGAAAGGGACATGATGCAGGAGCTGCAAAGGGCCTTGCTCTGTGCCTGATAACTAGTAGGTCCTCAATAAACAGAGTAACCATTTGTCCAAGGTTTGCCCAAGACAGGACCTGTTTATGCCTGCTGCTCAGGCATAAATTAACTGTGCCCATTTTACTCTTAAAACCGTCCAGATTTGCACAACAAATAACATGTCACCATTTCAGTTAGGATCTGTTGACTAAAAGCAGCAGCCTGTCCCTAGCAGAGCTGGATAAACACTGCAGATTCTCAGTTAGGGATCACCTCTGAGACCTTCTACCCTCTCCCCAACCAGGAGCCCAGGACAACCAAAGGGCCCCAACCCTGCAGCAGTGCAGGGCTCTGTCAGGCCTTCCTACCAGGAGAGACCCCTGCCGCACCAGCAATGTGGACTCCAACTGCCTCTTGGGACAGGTGCGTGGGGAGGCCACTCTCAGACATTATTCCCCAATTTGTATTACTGTTGATGATGATAATGATGATAGTGACAACACCGAATCTCTTTTTTCTTTTTTTATCTTTTGACCCCGCCCCGTGGCATGTGGAATCTTAGCTCTCCCACCAAGGATCAAACCCGCACCCCCTGCATTGGTGTCGTCGAGTCTTAACCACTGGGCCGCCAGGAAAGTCCTCCGAATCATTTTTTAAGCACTGATTATATGGCAGGCACTACTCCTGCCAAGCAAATTGCTGGGTGGGCATCTTCTCTTTTGATCCTCACCCCAACTCTGTTGGGTGGATATTACTGCCAGCCTCCTTTTACAGATGGGAAAGTAGATTAAACCATTTTATCAAGGTCATACAGCTAGTTAGTTTAAAGGGCTGGATTTGAATCCAGTTCTGTTCAACTCCAGCCAAGGTTCCTAACCGCTGCACTCCATAGCCCGAGTTTTGGTGGCCACTATGTGACCCCATAAGCAAAGCCTGGACAGACCAAGTGCACTCCCCATAATGAAAGCAAACCCCCAAACCAGCATGAACCATCAAGTACCCTCAAGGTCCCCGCCCCTCAACTAGCCCCCACTAACTGCACACTCCAAGAGGTCCCCATCTCCCACCCTTTCAGAGAACCCTTTACCTGTCCCGCACCGCCTCTTCAAAGTATGTCCCGAAATGCTAGAGGCGGGCGTGGGGCAGGTCGGGACCGCCCAACAACCTACACTCAGTATCAGTGGGCGGGTCCCCAAAGAGATTTCCCCCCCCAAGAAACCCATCCCACATACTGCCCACGTTCAGAACCCTCAAACACCCAAAGAGCAAACCCCAAGTCTCGGATGGAGCAAACTCCCATCAGCGGGAACCCCGGCCTGGTTACCGCGAACCCCCGAAGGCCAGGCCGCACCTGCAGCCACTGCGTATCCCGGGGAGGGTGACGTCCTCTTCCAACACCGAGTCCATCATGGACACAGAGGAGGTGGCGGCGTTGGTATCTGACGGCGTCGCCACTGGTTTCCCTCCCCCCCTCCTGCCCCCCGTCGCGACCCGCCCGGCTCCCGAGGTCCCCGCCCCCTCCAACCCAGGTCTTGTTGGGACTCCGGCGGCGCCGCTGGAATTCAAACCGCAGCCGCTGCCATCTTTCCCGGCGCTTCTTCCTACGGAAACGAGGCGGGGTCACCGAGGAGCGCGCTGTGAAGCCGAGGCCCGGCCGGGCAGCGCGGGCGGGCGCCATCTTAACTAATGGCAGGGGGGCGGGGGGTCTGCACTTGCGCCAGCAAGACTTAAGGAAAGAGAGGCAGGATGCCATTTTTAGTGAGGGCACTCGGGCCGAGGCCAGGGCAGGTGCCATCTTTGTTGAGGGCTGAATCGGCCTTGGGCCGTTAATTTAAGCGGGAGATGGGAATCCAGCACCTCTTGGCACCCGCAGAGTACCTAACCAGGTTTGTACTTTTCTAGAATAATGACTCCGAACCATAGGGTCTGGGCATCCCAAAATCTTCCACCTTGAGTTGAAACTCAGATAATCCGGTGCTGCCTCGCTTTAGAAAAATCCTACCTACAGAATCCTGACTCAAGCAGTAATTTGCACACTTAGTTTGAAACGAAGAAGCTCATCCCTATGAGCCTAGTGGTCAGGGACTCTCCCTCTCCAATCTCTCACCTGGTGAGCCTTTATTACCGTTAGGGCTCAAATGCACCTGAGATCAGTAAACTGAGCCCAAGAGAGAGGAAAGCCTCACCGAAGGTCATGTACCATAAGTCGGTCAACTGGAGCCAGACCCGTGGTTCCAGCCAACTATATCCGAGCTCTCTCCATAACCCTGGCTGCCTTTCTTAAAGCAAATAGCAATCACCAAACACCTAGATAATTTGGCAGAGCTTGGCCAGTGAAATCGACCTTCCTCTCTTAACTCAGTGTTGCTACCCTTTCTCTGCAGACTGTCAGGACTGTTCTCAGTCCTGCCTGAAAATAACTTGAAAAGATGAGTGACTGGGTAGATGTACCTGTCCTCCGTCAGCCTCAGTTTCCTCGTTCTTTCCAAAAGAGGCCTTCTTTAATCCTCTAATCTACATCAAGCCCTTAATGTATTCTTAGCAATCAGTATTTTTCCTCTGTGGCGCTTACCACATTTTGCAGTTCTTTACTTCCGTATATAATTATTTTAACTGTGTCCCTTTTGCAGTAGACTGGAAGCTCGGTGAGGGCAAAGACTGTGTTCTGAATTGTTTACGGCTGTATCCCCAATACTTAGCACTGTGCCTGCCACCCAGCAGGTGTTTAAATATATATGTTGAGTGAATGATTCAATCAATCTGGAAAATGGGGCTAATACCTATCCTGCAAGGTTTTTTTTTAATCCATTTTATTGAAGAATTATTGATTTACAATGCTGTGTTAGTTTCTGCTGTACAGCAAAGTGATTGTTACATGTATATACATATTTTTTTCATATTCTTTTCCATAAGTTTATTACAGAATATTGAATATAGTTCCCAGTGCTATATAGTAGGACCTTGTTGTTTATCCATTCTATATATACTAGTTTGCATATTATCCTGCAAGGTTTTTATGACAATGTAGAGATGACCTAAGATACATTTAGTAGCTCAGTCAATGGTAATCCCATCTCTGTCTCTCTCTCTCTCTCTCTCTCATACACACACACACACACACACACACACACACACACACACACACACACCTACCTTTAGTGAAGGCTACAAGGCTCATGGTCCTGCACCTGTCCCTCTTCCATTCCCAGATCTTCAACCACCCCCAGAATCAGCAATAAAATAACAGCTTGAAAGACAGTGGGCAGGAACCAGCTGGCACACAGGGAAGGGGCAGTCCCTGAATCCCTGGACCCAACAGTCCTTGCCAATGCTAAGTTCAACCAGTGAGATGAGTGTGTCCAAAAGCAGGGAAGCTGGCGTGTCAGGATTCCTGCCCTGGTTCTGCCACTGACTCTCTCTGATCTTTGCCAGACTGCTCCTTTTCTCTGGGTCTCAGTTTCCGCAGCTGTAAAATAAGAGGGTGGGACTGGATGGATGTCTCCGGACCTCACAGCTCTGGAGCAGATTTCTTTGTGTTGATTTCAAAGCTACTAACGCACAACCAGTTCTATTCTGGTGAGGGAGTCTGAGTTACAAATCATCACTTCTCAGATGAAGGAACTAACTTTCCATCCAGCAGATGAAAGCTCTTGAGAAAGGACACAAGGAAGAGGATGTGCACAGTTTGACATTCCTTACGTGACACTCGTACCGGGTATATCACAGGCACCACCGCATCTAACCCTCACAACCACCCTCAGCATAGGTGTTACTGTTATCCCCATTTCTCTTACAGATGAGAAGACTGAGGCTGAAAGAGGTAAAAATAATTTATGGTCTCCCTGCTGCTAAGTGGCAGAGCTGGAATTTGAGCCTAGGTCCCTCTGAACCCCAAAACCCTAATTGTTTCAGGAAGCCTGTCTTCTCTATTTGTTTGTTTTTCTCCACTTTAGAATTTAGGATTAAGAGGTAAGGTCTACACTCAGACAACGGTATTTCAGGGATGTGTTCACCAGACTCTACTCCTTGGGCATGTGCTTCGAGGTGGCCATGAGATGAATCTGAGTGTGGGCAATATAATTTCAGGACTGGAAGTCTGGGCGCCTGGATTCTGACTTTGGAAAGTCCTCCAACTTATCCTGGGACCTGGCGTCTCTTCCCCTTGCTCCTCCTTGGTTTTTCCTGTGTAAAATGGGACAGACAATGCTGAGCTCACTTGGTTACATTAGATACTTTGGAATCTATAAAGAAGGAAGAGCCGGGGAGGAATTCTCCTTATGATTAATCCATTGCCCATTCGGTGAATGGCCATATTCCTGGTTTGTGTGCTAAACATTTTAGTGAACCAGGAAACTGAAAATAGAATCAATTGCACAAAAGATGGGCTATTTGGGAAGTTGTTTTCCTGTTTTCATGGTCAGGGATGAAGCCCTTTGCCCTGTCTCTGTCTCACCATGGCCTTTCTTTCTGCCAAGCCTGGAGGTGACGTCACTACCACCAGCTGTTTGGGCTATCTGGCGCCATCTCCCTGACGACAGCCACCCAGCCACAAAGCTGGCATTATTATTTCCTTGGGCAAGGTCATATTGAATGGCTGGGAGGAAGTCCCTTGCAGCCAGATGTTTCTCATTAGGGTAGAACCCTCAAGACACAGAAGCTGCCATTACTAACGGCAAGAATAGCTTTTTGAATCAATACATACACACTGCTACTTTGCACTATTTCATTTTATCCTTAGAACACTGTGAAGTAGATTGGGATGACTGCCCTGCGCTTCAGGTCAGGAAACAAGACTCAGGGAGGGGAAGAGATTTGCCCAAGGCCACACTTCCTTCCTTCCTTTCTCTCTCTCTCTCTTTCTCTCTTTCTTCCTTAGCTTTTTGTTTAGAAATAATTTCAGGCTTAGAAAAAAGTTGCAAAAGTGTGCAAAGATTTCCTTGTATAGCCTTCACCCAGCTTCCTAAATTACCAACATTTTAGGGTTGGCCAAAAAGTTCGTTCGGATTTTTCCCTGCCATCTTACAGAAAAACCCGAATGAACTTTTTGGCCAACCCAATACATAACCATAGCACAATTGTCAAAAATAAGAAATTACATTGAAAGGATACGATTCACTACAGACATTTTAGAATTTAATCAATTTTCCCATTAATGCCATTTTTCTGGCTCAGGATCCAATCCAGGATTTGACATTGCATTTAGCTGTTATGTCTCCTCACCCCCCTCCAATCTGTGGCAATTCCTCTGCCCATGCCTTTCATGATGTTGACACTTCAGAAAAGTTCTTGCCAGTTATTTGACAGAATGTTCCTATTTGGGGGTTCATGTGGTGTTTCCTCGTGATAAAACTGAGGTTGTGCACTTTTGGCAAAAGTACCACAAAAGTGATGCTGTGCCTTTCTCAGGTACCAGGAGGCAGGTGATGTTAATATGTCTCATTAATTGGTGCTGTTAACTGTTTTCTTGCGTAAGGTAGTATCTGCCAAGATTCTCCATGGTAAAATTACTATTTTTATAATTAATAAAAATCTTGTGTTGATATTTGAAACTATGTAAATATCCTGTTTTTCATCAAATTTTCACCTACTTATTTTAGCATCCACTGATAATTTTTTTTTTTTTTTTTGGCTGCATTGGGTCTTCATTGCTGCGCGCAGGCTTTCTCTAGTTGCAGTGAGCGGGGGCTACTCTTCCTTGCGGTGTGCGAGCTTCTCTTTGCGTTGGCTTCTCTTGTTGCTGAGCACGGGCTCTAGGCGCACGGGCTTCAGTAGTTGTGGCACGCAGGCTCAGTAGTTGTGGCTTGCAGGCTCTAGAGCGCAGGCTCAGTAGTCGTAGCCCACAGGCTTAGTTGTTCCCCAGCACGTGGGATCTTCCTAGACCAGGGCTTAAACCCCTGTCCCTTGCATTGGCAGGCAGATCCTTAACTACTGCACCACAAGGGAAGCCCCCATTGATAATTCTCACCCAAAACAATTATCACAGGGCTGTTTGCCAGCTGACAATGTCCTGTTTTCATCATTCCTTCTATCTTTATTAATTGGAATGCCACTGTAAGGAAGAGCTTTCTCTTCTCCCTCATTTATTCAGTTGTTTATTTAAACCAGTATGAACTCGTGGATATTTGCTTTATTTTGTGAGTTAAAATACATTACTATCATTATTTCTCTCGTTGCCCAAATTGTCCTAGTTTTGGCCAAGTCATCCTTTGAATACACAGGTGTGCCAAGATTCAGACCCAGGTCTGTCTGGTCCCAAGGTCAGCAGTATTTCTGGCTTGTCACCTGCCCCCTTGCTCACAGGAACTCTTCCCAGCCAACCCTCACCACCAGCAGTCCCTGACCAGTTCCCAGTTGTTACCCACTGTCTTCCCCATAGTGTGCTTGGTCACTAAGCCAGTGATGCCTTCTAGGACCAGCATCTAACCCCAGGCTGTGCACATAGCTCAAGGCCAGTTTGCCAAATTAACTCAAGTCCTAACTTCTCAAGATGGGAAGAAAACAGAAATACTCCATATCAAGGGAAGAGCATGTAGATCATTAGGCTAAAGAGGGTAATACACATCAACACCATATGATCTC